TTTACAATACGGAGTAAATAAGTATTTGTAACTCCCCATGCATTTGGTTCGGCCCTCTCAACCCCCCCCATCTTTCCCATTTAATTGTTTTTTTAATCACCATAAAACCCCATCACTCTCCACCCTTAAAACTCCTATTGTTGTAACCCCCATTTTGTGAATTCAATCATCAACTCCATCATCACCATTCATCTTCTCTCCCTCTCTCATTTTCGGCCAAGGCACACAGCAGCTCAGGAATCTCCGGTGAAGCTCCGGTGGGTGCAAGGTTGAAGGAGAAGAAGAGCTAGGCCGTCGTGCGAAGCGTGGTCGTCGTTTGTCCGTTCGTTAGCACCATTTGTTCATCTCGTTCCATCAATCCCTTCATTTAGAGGTGAGTAGTTGTCCCTCTAATTCTAGAACATTTAGTTATAATCTATGTCGTTATATTCATAGGAATATCGTACGCAACCTACGTAGAATCTATGCATGTTCGTAGGTTAACCATCAAACATACGAGAGTCCGTGTTATCAAGTTACGAACTCGTTAATACAAGCATTTTGAAACTCCGTATATTCATGGAATACTTAACATGTAATCATAAACGTTCGTTTCAAAGAAAACNTTCATTTAGAGGTGAGTAGTTGTCCCTCTAATTCTAGAACATTTAGTTATAATCTATGTCGTTATATTCATAGGAATATCGTACGCAACCTACGTAGAATCTATGCATGTTCGTAGGTTAACCATCAAACATACGAGAGTCCGTGTTATCAAGTTACGAACTCGTTAATACAAGCATTTTGAAACTCCGTATATTCATGGAATACTTAACATGTAATCATAAACGTTCGTTTCAAAGAAAACTCCCAACGTATTGATGATAACCATATCTTGACTGAAGGAATCGTAACTCTTGACGAACAATTGACTTATGAGGAGGAACCTGTACAAATTCTAGCACGAGAAGTCAAACAATTGAGACACAAATCCGTACCTCTAGTCAAAGTACTATGGAGAAATCATTCGACTGAAGAAGCAACATGGGAAACCGAAGAGTCAATGAGAACACAGTATCCGAATCTCTTCAATCAATGACTCAGGTAATTTCGAGGACGAAATTGTTTTAAGGGGGAGAGAAATGTAACGCCCCAAAAATAGGCCTATCAGAGTTAATTAATTTATAATTAATTAATTACTGAGAAGGACCCAAAAATAAGTAAATTCTAAAGTTTGTCAATAAGAAGGACCCACTGGCCTATTTAAGCACAACTCAACTCCCTCAATTCCTCACCAAAAACATTCATTCTTCCTCCTATATTGTTCCTTGCTGAGAGTAGAGTGCAGTGGTGCTGTCATCTTTGTGTGAGGTCGCCGGAGCAGTAAGATAGAGTCGCCGGAAGTTTCGCCGGAAAATCGTCAAAACCTCCCTTACGCTTTGAGGTAAGCCCCTAGATATATCTAATGACTAGAATGTTCATATGGGTCATTTCTACGTTCATAAATGGTCATTTGGTTGAGTTTTGTGTTTAACATGTTTGAAGAACCAAGAATCATAAACCTTGAATTTGATGTTAAAACTATGTTTTAATAATTCTAATATGATCTATGAACCTTGGAAAAATCTCTATATAGTTTAATTGAAGTTCGGTGACTAAAAATGGTTTTCCCGAAAAATGGACCGAGGTTGAAGACGAATGAACAGTGGCGGAAAATCCACAGAGTGGATCGATCCCCTTCATTGGATCGATCCTCTGGGAGTTTTTCTTCTAGTTGGATCGATCCAGAGGGCTGGATCAATTTTCCGAAACTCTGGTCCGAAATTTTGTCTGAAATTGCTATTTTTGGGCTTTAAAATCCTATTTTTGATACCAATTGATTATGATTATTATAAAAATGATTTTTCATAACAAAAAAATGATGTTTTTAACAAATTAAAACATAATGTGATGCATGACGGTAAGTTCGGGTGTTAACACTCGAGACTAGGCCGCTAATTGTTATTAAATGTTATGTTAAATGATTATTATGATGAACTATTATTGTGGCCAATTATGAATGATTAACCTACTGATTGGTATGATTAACTCATTATTAAAAATGGATATAATGATGATTATGAAATTGATGTATATTATTAAGGATATCTAGAAGAACTCTAAGATATACCCACTTGTATAATGATGATGAATATTAAGGATATCTAGAAGAACTCTAAGATATACCTCCTTGACCAATTCATATTTCGGGGTTAAAACGTACGTACGGGATCCAGACTGGATATCACCCACCCGACAAATCAATGTTCGGTTGGTACGTAATCCACATGACTCATAGGGTGGATTATCGATTCTTGTGTTCTGCATTAAACTATATATAGTTTAAGGGCCTGGTTAGAAATGTTGCCTTACACTAGGAATAGCTAAGAGCTTGTTATAAAATGATTTGGCCTTAGATTAAGAATAATTTAAGAGCATGGTTGAGATATTGAATATCAAATGACTTGGAATAAAATATTGAGAATATCATGAATGTTTGAATCATATATTGTGTGCATGATATCAAATGGTTGATTATGAATTGAGATTCAATTTATTTGGATGTTCGACGCTTTAGATATGCTTACTCAGCTTCA